CAACTGAGTACGAATCTTCATTCCGAGCTTCATTACTCTGAAAGAAAGCAACAATAAAAAGCTTGAGATCTGAAAATTTCGCATAACAATCTAATACCTCAAAGTCGATTTTAGCATTCTGAAAATGTAGATCATAAAAAAATGAAGAAATATTTCTTTATTCGACAAAAATCTTTATTTTTTAAAATTTTAATGGGTTCCTGAATATGCAGTTTTGCTTTTAAAGAAAAAATGCAACAACAATCTAAATCGAGGAACAACTATTTCCCTTCTATTCTAAGGTAAAAGCAATATATAATATCTCTAAGTGGTAAACCTAAATTTTTGTTATTGAATACATTGAAACTCGACAAGTTTCAATGTATTCCATAATAATTCAATATTATTTTCTCAATCTCCAGCGTTTGCTCCTGCATTTCTTTACCGAACCAAAAACTGTGAAGCGGTTAAAAAAATAAAGATCTTATATCCCTGATATGAAGGCAGATCAAGTCTGGGAACGCTATTTGCAACATCACATGGAAGAAAAATTTATTTAAAAAATTCTTACCTTGTGCATCGGTCAATTTTTGTTAGTGCATGTTTGTTAGTGTTGTTCAATAATGATTCAATGCAGCACAAACGCAGTTACCAATTTCTTTTTCTCCAGAAATGAATTTTACAGAAGTGTAAATCCAATAACACTCATTTGGGAACTCGAAAATGCTTTCTAAATGACACTTGTAATAATTAAACTGTATTTAATTTGCTCTTCAATATCAGGATAATTATAATACTTAAAATGAAAATCTATATATTGTTTGAAGGATATGTTTGAATATTTTAAATCACTAAATTCTCTATACTGTGACAAGTCAATATAGGTAACTCTGATTACTTCGCTTATTTTTCAGTATATAACCTATGTGCAAGTTTAAAAAGTTATTTTAACCAAAAAATGAACAAAATTGTCTAGTTGTAGCATAAAACATTTCGTCTGAAAATAAAACAATAAATTGCGTTTCGTGGGAAAACTGCATACATCTATCTGCAGTGCGAAAGCGATTAGAATACTCCCTTCATTCTATCGCCTAGAGCTTTGGAACTGGACCGAAAAGAAATGCTGACCGTTTCTCTGCCTGCCAACAAAAGAGCACTAATCACCTCGTCGTTAAGACTCGATCTGAAAAATTTTACCCCCTTTCCCTAACCGCTGGGCGAAGAGCCTCCAGTGAAGGAACCCAACTATTTTTCCAGCCCACGGAAAAGGTTAACAGAAATGCAATTGAGATATTTTTTCTATTTATTAACGATCTATTTCAATAGAGATCATTCAATTAAAGAGGGGAAAAAAGCTTTTAAAACAAAATCCAAAATAATTGTTGTGTGACTAAACGAAGCAATAAAGTAATTTTGTTTCTGATTAGCTGCATTTCTAATGAATTTGTGGGTTATGTTTATTTGGGTATCTTTAGACTTTCAGTGATACATCTAGTCCTGTCTTTTTTTTTTTTTTTTTTTTAGTCCAAAGGGATTTGAATCCCGAAGGACTATTAGTTTCGTTTTGGCATTTTGCGTCGGACGGATAAATGTCGGTTCACTTTTCAAACTGTTGCCATAAAATGTTAGAGTCCTGCATTATATTTGAAGAAATTAAATAATGAAAATCTGCGTAAATGTATGTATATTTCTCACATTGTCATAAAATAACGGTACATAGAGTCATCAAATTTTGAATAACGTAATCCTCCAACGAATATGAGCATGTGGAAGACCAAATTTGAAATTTGAAATTTGTTTTATGATCGATTTCCTATTTTTTAAAACTTTGACGAATTTTTGATTAACAAACTCAAGGATTTCAAAGCGAGCAATGGCAACGTTGTGCAGAAAAAACATTTTTATCTCCAGCGCGTGAGTCTCTGTATCGGAAATTCTAAAGATATGCTCGTTTTAAAACTATTTTGCGATATTGCTGTTGCACTGGATCTTATGGTTTAAGTGCGAGGAACATGATATTTAATAAAGAAAGGTAACACACAAAATGTTAAAAAACGCCCTTTTGGACGTAATTTAAAATCTGAAACATTTCAGATTTTTTTTTTTTTTTTTTTTTTTAATTCTTCTTTTTCAGTACAGCTTCTTAGTTTTTTTTTGCTGCTGTACTTCCCACATGCACAGCAATCTGTTTTCAGTACTAAGCATCAGGGAATTTCACTAATTTGGCATCATATAGTACAAACCTTGGCTCCAAAATCCTAAAATGAGAAGGATGGAAAAAAAGGCACATGATGCATTAAGCGAGCTGCACGACGTTCTGTTCATGCAAACAGCTAAAATTTTGCTGTACTTTTCCATTTCGCTGGCCCAAATCTCGCCAAGCAGATTTTATTGGTGACAACACGCAGTATACACATAAAAAATGTTAACAAATGTTAGTTTTAAGAAATTTTTATTTTGAAGATATGAACATATTAATATTGCTTAAAATTTTGTAAAAAAACAATAAATTTGTAAAAAGACATTAATTTAAGAATTTAGTACGCTTTCATGGTACAACATCCTGATTCGCAGTTTCTTATTATGTAACCCCAAGTAATGTCATCTCACGTAAACTACACTACAAAAATCTAATTCTCCCAGTAATTATCTACATTAAATCTTAATTTGGAATAAAAGTTTAAATGCAAGAATTATTTCAATTCGAACAAAAAGCTTACTCAGAAATTATGTAAAACCGCAGTGCTTTACTTCGCTAGTGCATTCTCATTAGAATGGCTGAATTTAACCCTTGACTTTGCCTTTTCTATATTTTCGCTTTCGGGTGAGCGGCGTGATTCCATCCTAATTGACTTAATTGACTAATTACCGCGAATGGTCTTAGGGTATAAAATTGAACTGTCTGGGTAAAACTTCTATGTAATTGTATGCCAGTATTGAAAGAAATAATCAATCTGATAAGAAATGGCTGCGACTTGTTTTGAAAATGAGGCATAAAAGATTACCAAGGAGAATATTTCGTTTGGTATTGGTTGTACCATTTTTGGCGACTTTATCGCTTGTGCCGGCAAAATGGAAAAGTACCAATTTTGCTAAAGATGATGAAAAACATTGTTACTTCCATAAGAAAAAATATCATCTTGAATCACATTGGCAGAAATGTCTGTATAAATGGATACTGGGGAGGTGCTATGCTCATACATGAGTTGTCACATAAATATTGGTGCGTTTAATCATTACTTTTAGTTGGGGGTGTGGATAAGCAGAAAGTATTGTAATTTTTTTATTTATTTGGTGATACAGTGAAAATTATTTCAACAATAATAAAGCAACTGCATTCATTTTTATCTAAATGGACCTTCAATATTTTTTTTTTTTTTTTTTAAGTATTTCTTCACTAAAGTAGCAGAGAAAGGATTTTATTGGCAAAAGGCAAAATACTTACTTGTCATTTAAAATAAAGATATTTTATTGCCTGACATTACAAAATGATAAAATTAATATAATACACGTTATAAGATTTTTGCACTTGCAATTTGTAACACAGCATCAATGAAAAAGAATGCAACCTTATTACATAATAAAATCTTAAAATTCCAGAAATAATTCTTGAGCTGAAATTGAGTTAAAGAATGTTAAGTTTTGCCTCTGCTGACTAGTTTTACGCCTTGTGTAATCCATCAATCTCCTTCAACTCATAGATTGTATGGAGTGGTGCAGTCTTGTGGCCTTCACAGAGACCATATCTTACACTTCTGAACTTCTGGAGAAACAGAACTTTGTTTACAGTGAAAACATTTCTAACAGCGGCTTTTTAAAACTAACTCTGAAGATGCTTCAAAATACATAGACTGAAATTAAATATTGTCTTGACATCTGAGCACCTAATGGTGCATACTATATTGAAACATACTAAAATGTATGTAAACTTTTAAAAATTTATGAGTATAGCATCAAAAATGTACATACATTTTGCATGATACAGTTTTGAAATCTTTTTCGATGACCTTGTTTATTCAAGATTTTTAATGAAACACTTGAATAATAAATAAACCTGTAAATAAATTAACAGTAAACTTAATTTGGTTATGTCTTGAAAACAAGTGATATAGATAGCTTGAGTTCACGTAACAGTTCAGCATTTAGTTGGGTAATATTCTGTTATCGGATCGGATAAAAAATGTATTGAATATATGCACGTATGTCTTCTAATTTTAATTGGCTCTAACCCCTTTTATGTTTAATTTGGGGACTTCCTCTCTCTGTCTAGATATAGCGCTAGAAGTTTGAAGAGTGTCATTCAAATTAATCATGCAATCTTATGTAATGCTTAATGCAGAAATCTCTTGCCCATTCAAAATAATTGTAAACTGAAACCTTTGGACTCCCTTCCTTCTTCCTCTGCATTACTACTGCGACACTCTCTCTCTTTTCGCTTTCATCCTGTTAAGACACTGCAGCAACCATCTATGTTCACTTCTATTGCAATAGTATCAAAATTGTTCTGGAAATAAGCATGATTGGAATGCCAAGTGAATTATGGCCACAAATGTGAATTTAAATAAAAGAGGAATTTAATCCAGCTCGACTGCTTCTTCAAAATGGATGAATGCTCTAAGCATCAAGTATCTACGCCCTCAGTATTTCTGCGCATTTACATTTCAGTGTTCTTACATTAGTGCTTCCAAAATTGTGCTTTTATTACATATATGTGTATACACACACACACATTTGTGCTTATATATGTACATGAACACATACATTCATACATACATGCATACAAACATACATTTCTGAATCCTGTCATGATAACAGAACAAAATGTTTAATTGTTTGAAAGTCCAGAATGTTTCAAATATTATGATGATAGGATTTGTTTTCGGTTTGTTTAAAGCCATAGAACTGCATTAGATTCTTTTTTGTAAGTGCTAAAATTATTTTCACTTTTTAAAGTAAAATTTATTACTTTTCAGAAATATAACTTTCAAAATGCTAATTCATATTTTTGAATAATTTTAAAGCAAACTGCATCTGGAATAACATCTGCAAAACAGACATCAGTTTCTTCCAAAAAAGTTTTACCTCCAACACCTGCAGAGTTATCTAGTTCATCACTACCTGTTGACCGGAATGCTAGTTTAAAGCAAAATCAGGCATATAGTGGTTTCTTTCTAGAGTATTCTTTAATTTCTGAATAGTAAGTATATAAAGAAAATTAATGATTTGGTTTCTAAAATCCTTCTTGATCCTTTTTATTTTTAATTGTTGTATTTCATTATTAATGCCATTATATCTGAGTAAATTTTGAGTAATTACTTGTCAAATGATACAGCATTAGTTCCTTGACCATTTTGAACCACCTGATTTTTTTATTAATGCTATCACCAATGATTCAAAATAAGTATTATTTTTGTTGAATTACTTTTAGATTTTTGGTGCAGCTGTGTTTATTTTGCAGAATATATTTTTTCTTTTTCAATTTTTAAGATATTGAAAATGCAAATGTCTTGACTGTATTTATAGAATAAAAAAACAATTTATTCATAAAAACTTGCAACAAATATGCTTGTGATGGATTTTCACCCAAATGGAATTCTAAATGGCACAGTCATAAGCATATATCATTAGTGTTATATTTATAATGATCTAAATATAGTAACAATGATTTGGATTTAAAAAAAACTGTCTCAAAATTGCATCAATATAATGCTTTGTAGCTTTTAGGAGCTGATTGTGATTTATCTTGCAAAGTAAAAAAGGCTATTTTAAAATGTAAACATTCCCGTAAAAAATAATCAAATTGAATAGTTTAACTTAAAATAGAACATTTTAACTTAGAATTAAACAGCTGTTATGCAGTAACATGGATGAACACAGTGATGTATATTTTGATTTTCTTTTATCTGAAAATTTTTAGTCAAAACAACAGGGAAATAGGTCAAACCAGTGGTTCTTAACTTTTTTTTGTTCCATGCACCCATTTCATCATTGTTAGAAGTTCATTCCCCACTGTCTTTTCTCAAATTAAAATATATCTATATATATATATATATATATATATATATATATTTTATATATATATATTGAGACCAGATAGGGTCTTATGTCTAATTGCCAGTTCGCTTTACATTTTCTTTTTCAATTTATATATATATATATATATTATTAAAATAGTGTGTATATATACACACATTTTTTTAATTTAGATTATTTTTAAATATAATTTTATAAATTAAACAACAAAAAGGTTAACTACAGCTAAATAAAAAGCTGATTGTATTCCCCTCTGAAAGATGAAATTCTGCCTGGAGGAGATTTTTCCCTGGTGCAGAAGCCTGGGTTAAATGTTGTGAAAATTATATAACATCTTTTTCTGATATTATAAAACTGGGTTATTTTGTTTCCATTAATAAATATATATTCAGATTGTATAAATTTTATATTTGTATTTGCCTCCAAAATGTTTCACCATTCTAGTGATATTTGTATTTCATGTAATATGAAATAAATAATGAACAACTTATCAAACATTTTGAATTGTTTATATTCATGTACATATATTGTATAAAATTTTAACAAGTTTTTTTTTATTTATATGTGTCTTAGTATACCTAAAAAGAAAAAGCATTAAAACAATATCTAATCTATTTGAATTTAAAATGAAAGTGCATTTGATAGGAAAAGAAAAATGCCAAAATTAAAAGAAATAACTTCCCTAAGAATGATAACTGTGGAATGAAATGCATTTATTAAAAATTTTTTTCTGATTTAACTTGTGAATAATGGTGTTTACTTAACTTTAATACCTAGCAGATGAGCAAATATATCATCCACAATCTATCGCTTCTATTTTACTAAATTGTAGTAGGATGATCTTAATTATGTAAATGTTAAATGGAAAATACAGCAAAAAGTATAACTTTAGGACCTTCCAAAAGGCACTTACTCAATTTCACTTATTTTCAGGCAAAATATACAACTTTGCTTAAAACTGTCTGAAGTTTGAATGAGTGAAATAAATACTTATACCTAATTCTTAAATATAGGCTATTACAGATGTGCTATCCCCCCAAAAATTAGGAAAAAAAAAAAAAAAAAATCTGAAATTTTTCAGATTTTAAATTACGTCCAAAGGGGCGTTTTTTTAACGTTTTGAGTGTTACCTTTATTTATTAAATATCATGTTCTTTGCACTTAAACCATAAAATTCAGTTCAAGAGCAATATCGCAAAATAATGTTAAATTAAGCATATCTTTAGAATTTCCGATATACACAGTCTCGCGAGCTGGAGATAAAAGTATTTTTTTTCTATATAACGTTGCCATTTCTCGCTTTTAAAGCATTGAGTTTGTAAATCAAAAATTCGTTAAAGTTTTACAAAATATAAAATCTATAATAAAACAAATTCCAAATTTGGGATTTCAGATGCCCATATTCGCAGTAGGATTTCGTCATTCAAAATTCGATGGCTCTATGTACCATTGTTTTATCACAATGCGAGAAACAGACAATCATTTATGCAGATTTTTCATTATTTAATTTCTTCAAATATAATGCAGGACTCTAACATTTTGTGGCAACAGTTTGAAAAGTGAACCCACATTTATGAGTCCGACGCAAAATGCCAAAACGAAAGCAATAGTCCTTCGGGACTGAAATCCCTTTGGACTAAAAAAAAACTGCATGATTTAATTAATGTGATTTTAGAAGTTTTATGAATATTGTTACTTAAAGGCAATTAATACAGAAATTTTTAAACCTATGTCAGCCAACTAATGATAACATGTAATAGAAAAAATTGAAATGCAATTTAATAGAAATAACTAGAGTTTAAATTATATTTTTATATGCTCTCATTATGTGATAAAAGCATGGTATCAATAATTGAATGATATTAGAAAAATCATACACTGTTTTGTTGCACATTAAGAAATCATGTATTGTCTTGTTGCAACTATGAATGCATTAACACCAATATCAGTTTCAACTAATATAATTTTTGTGTTATAATTGATACATTGATTTATTTTATTTAAATTTTATGATTTTTTTCATTCTGTAAAAAATTTTGCATTTTCCCCCCTTTTCTATTTAGAAATCTATTATTTTTCATCTGAAAATGCAGTAAAAATGTGATCTGGTATTTGGATCAATTTAACTAAAAATCATACTTAGAAAGAAAATACTTGAATCTTTTTATTTTCAACTGACTAAAAAAGTTACCACATTAAATTTATTTTAATAGGCTTTCTGAAAGATCACATAGTAAGCATTCTATCCATCCTAATGTGTTAAAACTGGTAACTTGGAAAGAAATCTGCAGTTTTAAAAGTATTTGATTGCATTAGAATACCTGATGGTAATTGTTGTCGTTTATATATGTTATATAATTATAAAAACTAGAATGAAAGAAACAAATTTAAAAGAAAAAATTAATTAAAAATAGGATGTATTTGTAGTGAATAATTTATAATTTAGATTTAAAAATTACACAGATTTTTATTTAAATTATTATAATATATTACATGATTTTTTGAATCTTAGAACATAAAAATTAAATTTAATGTTTCAGCTCATAAATAGTAATAAAAACTAAAATTATATGGTATCGTATCTAACATACCACAATTTCTGAATTTTTTAGAAGAGAGGGATTCAAAGTCAGCAGATGCTGCAAATTGTAGTATATATTAGCATGTACATATTGATTAAAATTATTATTAATATCTGTTGAAAGCCATATGAAATCAGAAATTTTTCCAATCATGTGAGCACAGTTTTATAATATAGTCTGATGCACAAAAACTCTATGTGTTCACCAGATTGAAATTTGAATTTACTTTTCATTTTCAAAGATAATAAAACTTGGAAATAGACTTCTTAGAGGAGAAAACTTGTTACAGTCAAAAATCGTTAATCCGGACTCGTCGGGACTTCGGCGATTCCGGATTATAGATCATCAGTTTAAATCTCATAAGATGGCATGCAGAAATTCTAAAATTAAAAATATGAAACCGTAATTTATGAAATAAAGAACAATTATAATCTAAAGAATATCAAAATTTACAAAAAAAAAAAAAAAAAAAAAAAAAAAAAAAAAAGCTTAATATTTATTTGTTTACTTTGTTAAACATTTCTTTCAATGTAAGTGGTTTAAGTTGCTTCGTTTTTATGTGATAATACTTTCTCTTTAATTCTATAAACAGACAAAATTTCTTGTCATCAGTTCTTTTCTCTTTAATTCTATAAACAGACAAAATTTCTTGTTCAGTTACAAAGTTCCGCTGTTCAAGTCCTATAATTGCTGTGTCGAGAATACTAATTTGTCAATCGAAATTTTTTCGTTTTCAATAACCTCTGTGTCACTTTCTTCGCTATCGGAAGCAAATTATAATGATGAGGAACTTGATTTAAATCATATCAAAGATGGAGTACATCGAGATGAAATACTACATTTAGTAAGGAATTATAAGCCAAATAAAATAAAAACATCTAATGGCTATTAATAAAGCACCTGCCCATTAAATATATACTATATATACATGCTTATCCTTTGAATTAATGAATTTGATCATTTCCTCATTTATTTCTGGCTTTCTTGTACCTCTTTTTTCCGTCTTTCTTAAGTTAATGTGCTATATGCCTATATGAAGTGATAATATTTGATCCACTGGCAGGGCCATCTATGGGTCCACTGATCATTTGCCCAAGGGCCCTATGAGCACAGGTGCCTCATATTATTTCATTTCTGTGCATGCTTGTCATAGGGGCCCCAGCACTCTCATTTGCTCTCAGGCCTTTGATGCTGTTAAAGCGGCACTGTCCACTGAATATCTTAATATAGTACAAAGTCCGTAATCCGGACTCATCGGGACTTTGGCGATTCAGGATTAGGGGTTTTTCCGGATTATAGATCATTAATTTAAATCTGGTAAGATGGCATGCAGAAATTGTACAATTAAAAATGTAAAACTGTAATTTATGAAATAAAGAGCAATTATGATCTAAAGGGTATCAAAATTTACAAAAAAAAAAAAAAAAACTTAATATTTATTTGTTTACTTTATTAAGCATTTCTCTCAATGTAAGTTGTTTAAGTTGCTTCATTTTATGTGATAATACTTTCTCTTTAATTCTATAAAAAGACATAATTTCTTGTTCAGTTACAAAGTTCCGCTGTTCAAGTCTCGTTAATTGCTGTGCCGAGAATACCGACTAACTTGTCAATCGAAATTTTTTCGTTTTCACTAATCTCTCTGTCACATTCTTCATGTCTTTATCCATTTTTTGCAGTAATTCCACTTTTTGTTTGTTGAACATCGAAACATACTTTCGTTTTGTAGATCCTTTGGAAGTTCCAGCATCGGAAATTCTATTTGACATAATCGAAAAGTTCAAGTTTACTTTTATAAAATTGCTCTTACAGTCTGCAAAAAATAATAAGCGGGATCCAATTCGAAGATTAAGGAACAACGCCCTCATTAACATTAACTGAAATAGATAATTAGATAATTTTAGCTTACACCGCCCGTTATACATTAAACGTGCAGGCGAAAACTTATTCTGCACTTGCGCACACGCATATGCACAGTAGTTAAGGTATTACGTGCACGCGTAAAACGCCTGTGCGCATGTGCCAATGCGGCGCATGCACAGAAAGTTTTTAGCTTTGAGGTCCGGATTATAGATCATTCCGGATTATGGGTGTCCGAATTAACGACTTTTGGCTGTATTTGGGTTCTGTTATATATTTATTAATAAATGCTAAGTATATTGAATATTATAATTTTATATATTTATCTTTTTTCCCATATAGCCTTCTTCTGCAGAAGCAGCTCTTATCCGGTGTTTATGTCATTCCTTCTGCTGGTTCCCCTTTAAGTAAGAATTTAAATATATACATGTATCAAAATCGTAAAAAGATAAAAACTCAAATATACATGTATATTTGAGTTTTATCTTTTATTATTAAAAAATTGGTGTAAATATCAAATTGTGATATAATAATATTTTTAATATTTTAACAGTAATACTGAATTTGATTTTAATATTTGAGAATTTGAGAACAGTTATAAAAGTTCTATAAATAGTTATTTCAAAAAGATTAGAGAAGCATAGGAATCTGCATTTTCTTTCTTTCCTAAATAAATAAATAAAATAAAATTTGCTTTTAGTTTGAAGACATATATAACTCAAAATTAGTTTTAAAAATGTATGTGAACATTTATTTTTAATTAAGAAAAATTATGATAAATACAGAGGAAAACATGTTAAATTCCAGTAAAGTATAAATTGCAGTGCCGGTTTTTAGAAAAAGCTAAAAATGCTGTCTATAAAAATTTTTTTAAGTATAAATCATTACTCTCTAATTATCTTTTCCCTTTGAAAAATCAATAACGTATGCAATTCTCAATTCTCCAAGCTAATACATGAAATGCAACATCCATTTTGAAAACTATAGCATGCTTTAAATTCCATAAAAGAGCAATGAATCAATAAAATTTAAAAAGCCAGAAATATCCATAGGGAGATCTACTTATCAAATCTTTGTAAGGTTCTTTTTTAGCCCAGAAGGGTTGTCTTGAAATGGTATTTTGAATCAAATCACTAAAAGCATTGAATCACTTTTCAAACTGTTGTCATCAAGTATTATTGCCTTGTATTATATTTAAAGAAATTAAATAATGAAGAATCTACATGAATGTATGCATGTTTCTCGCATTGTCAAAAAACAGTGGTATCTAGAGCCATCAAGTTTTGAATAACATAGTCCTCTACCCAAATATGGGCACCTGGAAGTCATAATTTTGGATTTGTTTTATTATCTATTTAATATTTTGTATAAAACTAATAAATTTTTGATTAAAAACTCAATGATTTCAAAGCAAGCAGTGGCAACACTGTATGGAATAAAACATTTTTATCTCCAGCATGTGAGCAAAAATTCTAAAGATATGCAATTTTTAAATATTTATAGCTCAAATTCTCTCGAAACAGCATTGCACACAAATTTGGTCTTTCTCCCCATGCACACAACAATCTGTTTTAGCGTAAAAAAATTGAGAATATTGAATACTTATGTATTATTCTATTGACTATGAAAGTTAGTTGCTGTCAAACCATGAAAATTGGCAGAGGACCTTTCTTTCCTCATTTCATGAAAAGGCTTTTATGAATTTCAGTTACTTAATTAGGCCTTCCAGTTTTTCAAGAAGTTCTGATTAGAATGCTATTAGTACAAACTTCCTGCAGGGTATTGTTCTGATATATATATATTTGTTGGTCATATTCAGCTGACCATACGGTGTTCCATTAAATACATGCTTTTTTTTATTGTAAGATCCCATAACTTTGAAAATAATCTACTGCTTACTGTTCTGTACAAGACAAGTTCCAAATTTAAATAACGGTTTTCAGAGTGCATGAAAAAATTGCAGAAAGCAAAAGATGGCTTATTGAGAACCAGTCAGGTTTATATCAAACAAAAGCATAGATGTTATAAATGTGTTGTTTCGCCAAGTTTATCCATAATTGACACTAAATCATGCTGCTTGTTGACAGTTTCATGGTCATTAGATAATATACGAGTACCAAAAATGGCACCAATTTGACAACATGCAGAAATTTCAATGCATAAAATTTGATTCTTTATATACGATTTTATGGAATGCAAACACAGTCAAATACTGAAAACACGCCAACTCCTGAAATCCGCATTGCCTCTCAAAATATAAACATTCAGTTTATAGGTTCCGGAACCACAACATTAAGTACAAAATATCGAAGAAAAAATACTTACCGAATAATAATGAGTCATAACGGAAATACCAAATTATTAACATCATGATATAAGTTTTTTCCTCTCTAATCCGCATCGAGGTAAGAAAGCAGACAATTCTCTCAACTCGTCTTTCAAGTTCTCAGTTCATGTTGTTGTATTTTCTGAGCTTTGTTAGTTCATGAGATTATTTAGTGCTGCCTTTTTTTTTATCCGGATATTTTGTGGATAAATTAAGAATATTTTAAATTTCAGCCCTTTTTAATACAATTGCAGATAAGAAACGCACTCATGATTTTACTGCTTGCAACGTTGAAAAACGTAAGCACATTGCATTGACGGTAATGCAAAAAGTGCAAATTCTGAAAAAGATGGAGGCAGGTGCTACTCCTTGGTTTATAGCAGAATTGTATGGAACTGCAATAGGACTGTGTATGATATACGGAAAAATAAAGCAAAGCTGTTGAAATTTTACAGCAACAGTGATTCTAACACCAGAATCCGAAACCGGAAATCTTTGCATGAGGCGAAATTGGCAAACCTCGATGCTGTGCATATATAATACAATGAATAATATATTCAATTTATATATGTAATAATAATTTAATGCATATAATAAGTTAGTGCAATAATGTATATAATAATTTAATTAAATGTATCTGATACACCTTATTTATTTTGCACTTTTAGTCTGAATATTATGATTTATCTTTTCTGTCCTGAAATCTGCAAAATCCTAAAATTCCTGGTCCCAACCTCTGGTCCCAAGCTTTGCAGATTTCTGGACTTCTACTGTATTTGCATTCTCGTCTTTTAGGCAAAATGCCATGTTTTGCAACACTTTCTTATTCATTAGCCATCAAACTCTACTGTTCCATTGCATGTATTGATACACCTCTTCTGTGCACATACATGGGTTGCCACATAAATATTTTAGCAACATAGTTGCTTTGTGAATACTTTTCAGGAGGATGTGAATAATCAGTATGAAGCTGAATATCAATTAAAATGAGCACATGGAGAACATATCCAACAAATGAAGTTTCAGAATATAGTAAGTTCAGTGTTTCAGTATAAAATCATCATTTCCATGCAGCAATGTGATAATTCCATTTCTCTTCTTTTCTATTTTCTGTATAAACGGTTAGCTCAACTAGGAGTAGTGAGCCTTATCTTTTTAAGTAGCCATAACATTTCTTACAGTGGCAGTAAGTTTTGGACGCTAACATGTGATCATTTGTTATCCATTTCAATGCATGCTTGTCAGACTTTACTTGGGAAATATAATGAAGTGAAAAAATATTTTTTGTATTTAAATCCTTGTATATATATAATGTGTAAATTGTCAAAAAACATGATATGTTTATTGTGCTTATATAAAGACATGGATAAAAGGTGTTACCTGTTCAGACCACTACTGTATTTCTAAGCAGTGAATTTCACACTTCTTTTAATGATAGGCATTTAACAATAAAAGTACTTGAAAATAGTATGCTTTTGCAATAATTTGTAATTAGAAAAAAAATCCCTGCATGCTAATTTTTCTATAAATTGCAGTGTCAACACACTTTTTGCCGTTAATTTTAAAAATTGTGTATTTTACTTGGAAAATAAATTTTTGTTTTATATCTTGAGTAACAAATCAGTATTTTTGTGATGATTTTCATAAAAACTAAAGAATTCTTTAAAGGATCTGTGCCTTGTTTACACTTGTAAATGTAAAATTTGTGTTAAAAAATAAATAATAATAATAATAAAAAGGTTTAGAACTAGAAAACAAAGTAGGAATAAATTCAGACTTAAAGGGGGAGATGATACTTTAAATACTTTGAAAAGTATTTAAATTGTTATTACTATAAAATAGAACTGCAAATAGTCCTGGTAATATTTCAATTGTGTAAGCACCAATATTTAAATATCTGTAATTATCGTGTCTTGCACTGTTAATTTCTTCAATAAAAACAGAAAATAAATTGAAGCTATTTTTTTTAATTTTCAATTTTTAATTATTAAATAATAAAATGTTTGTATGCTGTATAAGTAATATTTTTCAGTGATCAATGTAACTACATTTCCAATGGCCCACTTTCATCAAATTTCAATGTATTAATGACAAAAAAAAAAAAAAAAAAAAAAAAAAAAAAAACCAAGACAGATGCCCATCTCTCCAGAATATTATTTGGGTATGGGAGAAATGCATATAATAAAGAATGCAGGTTTCATACATATCAATACAAAATACTTAACACTCGCATAATAGTCACACTTTTTTTGAAAATTTTTCATTGTGAAAGATGTGATTATTATGTGGGGAAATCTGATATGCAATACTGTACATTCTAAGGCTAAAACATTACTGGTTTTAAAAAAATACATTATAATAAAATTATTAACTTACCAAATGTTTCCAGAGAATGTGCTGTTTATTAAATAGTCTTTTGCTCAGTTGCGCACAAAAAAGAGGCTTTTTCTTTTAATAGTAATATTTTTATAGATATAAAATTCACAAATAATCTTTGTGAAAATTTTGACAAAAAATTCTAATAATACAGTATATAATTAATAATCAATCACTTTCACTAAAGGTATCAATATCACTGTTATAATGTGAATCGATGTCTGAAGAATCGCCACCATTCTTTAAAATGTCATCTTTGCTTCCGTCCAAAGCGTGACATAATGTTTCGTAATGCACAGACATGAGAAAGAAGTTCATTTTCTATCATTGGAAAAATTCTATGCTTTGGTCCTCTGAATGCTCGCCTATTTATATTTCTTTCTTCTAGCAATTGTTTGGATTTTCTCCAGTCCCTTATTAATTTTTCACTTACATTCCATTCTCTTTCAGCAGCTGTGTTTTTATTCTCTTCAACATATTCAATAATCTTCAGCCTAAATAATCCCGCCATACAACTATTATTCTTTCTAAACTTTCTCATATTCAAGGGGGGGGGAAAGACGTCCAAAACACACCACCACAAAACAAAATATTTGTTGAGATTCTTGTTCTGAATAGATACGTGCAGCCCAGTAAATTTAAAGCATGTGTAGACTTTCTTTAATGAAGAATGAGTTGAAAGCTTTAAAATGAGGGGTGGGGATAAGAAATCCTACATCAGGGAGCTCTCCCATCCTCCCAGGAGGAGAAGCAGGCAATTACTTATCTCACTATGGCGTGACCATTAAGAATGTCAGTAGGAGTGACAGAGCAGATGAATTCACTATGAGTATTAGTTTAGGGAAGAGTACAGCTGATAGTTTTCTGTTCTCTAGATGGTCAAATGCGTGACTGCGACTTTTATGCGGGAAAAATATTCTGACCATTTTTTCTTCAAAACAGGGGTGCGACTGTTACACAAGGGTGACTATAACATGAGTAAACACAGTAATATTGAAATAAATGTACTACGTAAAACAATATTTTGCTGCTGATAGTGTTTTAGACGTGATAATTCTGGATCTCAGACTTTCTACTCTATGTAACGAAAAATTAAAATTTTACCCATTTGAAGTAAAAAGATATTTATTAGTATTAAACTGTATTTATTATTATTTGTGTTTTCATTCCCCTTCCATTATATTTCACATTAATTTAAAATTTCATTATCTAATTTTCATTTCAGAGTGGTTTGGTGTCATATTCATACGACAAGGACTTTATCAAGGTGGTGTATTTCGATTCACATTATATGTACCTGATAATTATCCAGATTGTGAATGTCCTGTAAGTAATTATTTTAAATTAAAATATTATTATTTTAAATTAAAATATGTTGTAATTAGGTGACATGGAGTTGTAGAATTTGCTATGGTTAAAAATACAAGTTTCCACTGCTTTGAAAAATATAATATTCTTATGTAATCTTTTAAAAAGATAAAATGGTATAAAGCTAAAAACAGGTATTATTAATTTATTATGAAACAAGATGTTTGGGTTTTCAAAAAATGTTGCCAAATCACCTTTTAAAATAATAATAAAATAAATAAAGATATTATACATAAATACACCTTAAATGTATAAACAACCCTTTTGAGCGATAGTTTCATTTTCCAAAACTGAGGAGAGGGAGGGAGAGCATATCAAAAACAATGTGATATTAGTGACAATGATAAATTCAGTTGAAGATTCTATCTCTTAATATCTTATTCATCAGATCACTAAATAAAATTTTTTTCCTGCCTAGGCTAATACTGAAATTTGAAATTATAATTGCATTTGGCTGATATGAAAGCTAGAAGTGATATAGTGTGCTTGACCACTGTACAATATTTTTTTTTTTCCAAGTAGTCAAAATATTCTGTGGGAACTACCTTAAACCCATATGCTAAATCACAATTAGTAAGTCTTTTCAACTATCATAGTATAAAATAAATGCTGAACCATATTGTTTTCATTCACTTTTTAAAATTTTAAATCTTTTTCTGTATTCTCCCCCTTAATTGAAAAGATACTAATTAAGTCTTCTATAAAAGTTGAAGATAGCTGTACTATGCAAGAATATTTGCTATATATTCAGATGAGTATATTAATTTGTAAATTAACTTTTTAAAGAAACAAAACTATGTTTCTGGAAACAAAATATTTTTATTTTAGTGTTACATTTTGGTAACTATCTGAAACATTTTGTTATTTATTAAAACATTGCTGGGTATTTTTCTTTTAATAATGCATTGCAGTTTTGTGCAGTTTCACATTTTACTTGTCAATAAATCATCAATACTACGATATAGATGAATGCCAATAAATAATCAATAACAATCAATGAGAGTCAACTACAACAATCTTATTCAACAATATATTTAAAAAAATGCACCAGAAGAAATGAAAGTTTTAATTATCGATAAATTATATAATTTAAGTTTATTAAAATATTTTATGATATGTATGGGCACATATGAAAAAATCTGAGTTCCTTGTACAGAATATTAAATGATATGCATTTTTTGCTGCATTTCATTTAAACTTATTTCCTCGAATTTCATTAGAGATAGATATCTTATTCAATTAATTCAGTTCTCAATAAATATGTGGTGATGAAAGCAAAATATAATAAATAATGGTTTGCCAGGTTGGCATCAGGGATATAAAATATTAGTAGGTGTAAAATCAACGCTGAATAGAATGTTTTGGTTTGAGATATATGCCAAGCAGATATGCAGCTATGGAGCCAAATTATTGATCACATACACATTTATCATAATTATTGTTTCTTCAATAACAAGGTATTTTATTTAGTGCCAAAGGGAAATTAAGAATCGGAACTCTCCACACCTTTTATTTCCGGGGGGGGGATCAAGTTCACATGTGTAAAGATTAAAAAAAAAAGTTGTTGGCAGTTTTGAGGTTTGGATTTGAGATCATTCTGGATATTGGACGTCCAGATCTCGGACTTTGTACTGTATTTCACATTTCTTCTGAATATTCATATTACTAAAAAAAAAATAAAATTAGCAGCTTTTTCTATACATACTAAATGCTTTTATTATTATTTTTAGAATAACAGAAATCCTTAATTAAACCCAAAAATTCTAAAATGAAAAGGAAACATGTTGAAGAAAGACAATATAAAGAAAATTATACTTCAAAGATATGCAGTTATTATTATGTAAATTACCCAGTTGTTTATGATTTCAGCCTTTACTATAATTTTCTGTTTCCATTTCTGTTTGCTCATATGATAGAGTTACTGAGCCAGCTAAATTTAAAATTAAAGTGTATTATAGTCTTTGACCACTAGTCCACATTTTTAGTTTGAATTTGACTGTTCTTGTTTAATTACATCACCGTGAGCTGTAATTGATTTTGTTAGCATCAGAACATGCCTTTTTATGCTCTATGTTCTTTTAAAATAAGAGGCTTATTTAACCCGTTTGCGACGGGCACCTCTGTTGCCGAAGCGTTCTCTTGGGATGGCGTGTTAACCGGATGTGTCATCCTGTGAGGACGGGCAATTTAATCTGCTCAGTCTTAACTCTGGAAAAAAATTCGTATAAATAAAATTTGTCATCCAATTTTGGGTACATTATGAGAAGAACATTCAGGTAGTCATCAGAATTAATTTTAAGCCTTTATTAATTATATTTTCCTTAAAAATTTTATAAAATACTCATTCTAGAATAATATAATTTTCCCCTTATCCCACAAATAAATATATATGGAAAAATATCCAAACAATCGCAGATTTTATTTAACACAGCACACAATTAAAATAAAAAAATATTAAAACTGTCTTTCATAAAAATTCAACGAGCAAACAACAAAAAGTAAGCAATGTTTCAAAATGAGACAGTGTAAGATAATTTTTTGAAATGTGGGTGTATGTACGAAAGTCCAGCATTGCATTAGTAGCAGGAATATAATATCTGCTGCTATTTCCAAATTTGACTCATTTGGTATTTGTATATGTTTTGCGGTCAGATAGTGCTTTCGTTTTGCCATTTAAAAAAAAAAAAAAAAAAAAACTTTTGCTTATCGATACAAAATATTCGTCTCAATGCCATAGTAATAAAAAAGTCTCTAATGATAGAACATCTACTCCACTATAGCTGATAAAAAAATTTAAAAAATAAGAAAAATTAATAAATTAAAAGTATTCCAGAGCATCGAGAACATGTTTATTTGTTTATATAAAATGAGGCAGTAAGAGCCATTATTGTACTCAACACTAAGGAATTAGCGATTGTGTATATTCTAGGTTTAGATACTGCTTCGGTTTGCCATTAAAAAAAGATATGTTTCGCTGGCGATTAAAAATATTCATCTGAAAGCACAAAAAATCTAAGAGTAATAATAAAAAATGGAAAAATATAAGAGTAATAAAAAAATCTCTATTGATAGAATGTCTATCCCACTATATCGCAAAAATAAAAATAAAAAGTACCTCAATGCAGGGAGAGCACATGCATTTGTTTATATCATCAAATGACGCAGTTAAAGTGACATTACATTGCTCAACACCCACCCATGAATCTCACAAACAAAATACCAAAAGTAAAAATCATTGCATTAGATTGAAGGTAAACATACTTAACTTTCGATATATTTCCCCATAACAGGCATACAGCTACATCTAGCGGCAACAAAAAATATCAATTAAACGTTCTATTTAAAAAGTCAAATGTGGTACGCTCGTTCGGTAGAGTGAATTAAATGGTGATTCAAATATGACACATCTGACCATGAGGTAATGTTCACTGCTGATGCACATATGACACGCCCATACTGAACGGGTTAAACCTTTGTCTGACATTGTATATAGCTACTTTCAGACATAGAGATAATTTGCTTTACGTCTGTTAGGGAGTTTTGGACTATTTAACTTTTACCAGATCAAGTAAACCCGGCCGTGAGGTAATGTTCGCTGTTGATGCACATATGACACGCCCGTACTGAACGGGTTAAACCTTTGTCTGACATTGTAGTTACTTTCAGACATAGAGATAATTTGCTTCACGTCTGTTAGGGAGTTTTGGACTATTTAACTTTTACCAGATCAAGTAAACCCTCATAGGTACGTTGTGGAGAGGCTGACAAGTTAGGAGATAGAGTATGCAGAAACTAGTGAGAACATTGGTTTGCATATTGAGACAAATTTCTGATTGTTAGAAAAAATGCTTAAAGAGAAGGAAATCGATGTAAACTAGCCAAAATGTCTGGGAAGACTTCAAATTAAAAAGACACATAAATATTTTATTGAGGGTTTTTGTTATAAAACATAAATGTTTTGTAGCTTTTAATGTGTAATTCTATAAAAGTTGGATATCGTTTAAGAATCAATGTCATAAATTACATGTATTTTAAACTGTGAAATTATATTAGATTATGATTTTAATAGGTCTTTTTTAACAAATATTGTTAACAAATAAGTGAAATTTAATAGTGGCCCATGTAAATCCATACTGACTATGGTTATCTAACTGCCTAATTATTTATAACTAACTGGTTATTCTTAAAAATTATCTCTGCATATTAAAGGAAGTTATTGAATTTACATTAATTCTTACTGATCACAAGTCTGATCACTGGTCACAAGAAAAAACACAAAAATGTAAAAATTCTTGCAAAACTTACACTTTGCATCTAATGACACTTAAAATAATACAAAACAACTTATTACCTCTGGTGCTTTAGTAGCTTATTGGAACCTTAAAGTATATTAACTGGGTTAAAACCTCTGGAGATCTACACAAAGCTACGACACTAACTGCATCAAACACTGACTAACTTTCAACACTTGCCCAATCGTGCCTACATCAGGTCTTTCAGGTTTGTTTTAATCAGCAGGTCTCTCTCTAGAGCAGCAGCAGTGACACCATCCAGTCTTTTGTTATGAATCATGCTGATTATGATCTTAATTCTCATTTTAACCTATGCCACTTAACATAAAATCTACCTGCTATTTACTAAACCTGACTGAGCAAGTATATGTGACAAAATGAGACATAAAAAAAATCAACATAAAGCTAACTGTTAGTAAAACGTAAATGTCATCTTCTTTCAAATATGCCCAACTATTATGAGTGTAAAATATTTTATGATACTTGATAAATTTCACAAAGTTTATTTTATTCTCAAACTTATTAATAATCATATTAATGAATGCATGTTTAATAATAATACATATGCATATTTGAATATACTTAGGGATCTATTTTATTTTTAGTTTGGTTAAGTGAAGTTCAGACATGTATAATAATTTTAATTGATTATATTCAGTTCCCATTTGCTCATAGGTCCTTAATTTTTTTCATTGATGGTCCTTAAAAGTCCTTAATTTCCATGTGCAGAAATGTGTGCAAACCCTGTATTAGTGCTTTGGCAACATTATCTATAACTTCAGTGAATTATATTAATGCATTTGAACATTGTAGTTGCTTATAAAACAAGCAGTTTGCCTTTGTCAAAAAATAGCAAAACTCCACTGCTATGATAAAATTCTACATGCATTATTTTCTCTTCAAGTAAATACTTCACTGAAATTCAGCAATAACCATTTTCTCTTATTTTATTATTTGGCTTTTCTTTTAGTGCATTGACACATTTTCTCTCAGATAACTGTTTCAGCTTACACTTGTGTAGTGAGGTTTATTTAAATGAGGTAAATCTGATTTTTACAGATATCCATGCATGTTCTTTCTTTGATCCAGTAGAAAATAAATCTCAGTGTGAGGACAAATGGAATACAGTGACTTTAAAAGTAGTTTTCTTTTCTTTGTCTAATCTGTTCTTTATGGAATTCAGTATTGTTGTTTTAAATTTTGGGGGGGGGCAGAGTAGAAAGAATTACATATCATGATTTTGCAGAAATTCTATAATCTGCAAAATATAAATTTTTTTCAGAGAAAGGTTACAGCTGTTTCTTTCTGCTTGGTTGAAATCGGAAATTGTAATTATATTTTAACAACTGAGTAGAACAGGATTAAATCCTAATTATATAAGGCATTATCATTGCTGATATGTTTAGGATTATCATGGGGCCATTTAAATTGTGATAAAAAATCACTAGTCTTTTGTCATGGCCAGAAGCAAAACATTAATATTTAACGAAAGAAGGAAAAAATAAATTATACTGATAGCTGCCATGTTTTGGTAATATTAGGTCTAGTTGAAGATACAGAATAGTGTAGTGGCATTTAATAGCAAAATACATATTTTTGGTTTCGTAAACTGATAAAATTTAGTTTTTATCTTAAAGTTGCTATTTAAATATTCTGTTCTGAACTTTGTCATCCCTCGCTACTTTGCGGTTAATTTATCGCGACCTCAATACATCGCGGATTCCTCAAAAATATTCATAAAAAATTCAAAATTGAGTAAGTATGGTAGGAAAGATGCCCACAGGCCAGCAGAAGGCAGGGAGTGCCTACACAATTCAAAATCCACGTCTCTGATTAGCTGGCTAATATCCCGCCTTTGATATCCCTCCTGACTCAGGAATCTCGCAAGCTGATTGGCCTAGATGTTTCCCCCACCTTTGCTCTCCCCAGCAAAGACGACCATGCTCATTCAAATCAATATTTGAGTGATGCTGAGCCTCGAGGTTTGCTAATTTTTGCTGTTCTCTTGTGTCTTTTTGTGCAAAATAGTGCTTGTGATACCCTTGAAAATGGTTCTTAAATGTCTTCCACCCTCTAAATCCTCTAGTAAACCCAAGTGGAAGAGAAAAATGATGACAGTGAACAAGAAAGTTAATTTATTGGACATGCTTAAGGCAGGCGATAGCTATGCATCTTTTGCACACCATAGCTATGCTTCTGTTGCACGCCATTAAGGATTGAACGAATCGATGGTTTGCCATATAAAAAAAAATGAAGTGAATATCCGTAAAACTGCCTCAATATTGTTCTTCAAGGACACTAAGTGAGTTGTGACTTCTTGTAATAAGCGAATTGAGAAAATTGAGAATATCTTATCCATCGGCAAACCATCGATATCGGACTGTCGGGAAAAGAATGTTATTTTCGATACCAATATGATTCGAACTAAAGCCAAAGCCCTGTATAATAGCCTCGTTCCTGACAGAGAGTTGAACAAAGATGACAAAAATGAACCTCAGCCTAGTACCAGTGCTTGAGTGATCCTATCCCATGAGAAAAATGTGGTTATGTTGCCAGCAAGGGCTGGTTTGAGAAATTAAAGAGAAGATTTGGCCTTCGCAGCATTCCTTTGTATGGGGAGGCCTCCTCGGCAGACCAAGAGGCAGCTCTTCATTACAGCGAGGAAGAGTTTCTGAAGATAATTGATGAGAGTGGTTACCTCCCGGAACAGGTCTTTAACATGGATTGAGACTGGCCTCTTCTGGAAGAGGATGCCGTCTTAGATATCCCTTTATAAGGACGAATTGAAGAGGCCAGGGTTCAAGGCCACAGATCGAGTGACTCTCCTCATGTATGAGAATGCTGCGGGCTTCATGCTCAAGCCCGTCTTAATTTACAAGTCGCTGAATTCTCGAACTTTGAAAAACAAAAACAAAGCCTTGCTGCCCGTCTACTAAATGCACAACAAAAAGGCATGGATAACTAAAGCCCTCACACTCGACTGGCTTGTAAACTGCTTTAACCCGCAGGTGAAGCTGTAACTCTCTGAAAAGGGGCTGCCTTCAAGGTCCTCTTCATTCATAGACTGTGCAGGAGGACATGCAACCAGTCTCTATTATCACGGGGTCTAAGTGGAGTTCCTTCTCCCCCCCCAGCACCACTTCCCATATACAACCCATGGATCCAGGGGGTCATTCGGCTCTTCAAGGCCCTCTATACACGGAAGTCCCCAATGAAGACAACATGGCCTTCAACCTGAAAAACTATTGGCGGATATACAGCATTGCAACGTGCCTGGTCAACATTCAAAATGTGTAGAGACATTAGGATTTTTTGGAAGCCAGAGAGATGAAAAATATGCAACTGCCTTCGCCGGGAATCGAACCATGGACCTCTGGAATACCGGCCCAGCGTGCTACTGTTACACTACGAAGGCACGCTAGGGAAGTGGGAGAAATACCTTATAAATGTTCTTAATAGCTAAAAGAGCAGACACTGATTGCAAGGTGGAAGAAATTGTGGCCAAAAAACATCACCCATGACTACGAGGGATTTACGCCTGAGAAAGTTCACCATTCTGCCTTAGATAAGGTTGTGAGGCTGGCTCGGTTGGTAGCCACTGAAGGGTCCTTCGACATGACGATGGAAGAAGTAAACACAGAGTGCCACTCGGAACACCCTAACTGACGAGGAACTCACCAAAATGGCAAGATCGGTGAGTGAGGAAGAAAAGGGGGTAGCTGACGATGGTGGCAACAACGAAGCTGAAGAGCATGGCCTTACCTTGGAAAACCTGCAAGAGCTCTGCAACATAGCACGGACTACAAAGGGCCTAAGAAATCGATGACAACATGGTCAGAGCCGTAGAATTCAGTAACCGTATTGACTTTGTAATGGTGTTTACAAAGGCATCTTTGCTCAGAAGAAAAAACAACGGTTACAACTCCCCATCACGATGTTTCTTGTGCGCCGAAAATGTTCTGCAGAAGCTCCTCTTGCTTCCTCTATGCCGTCTCCTGCAACTACCCCAGCTAAATCCAAAGCTGCCTGCGTCAATCGAGCGTCCCTAGCATCTGAAGATGAGGCGTCATCTGAGGAGCAGTAAAACTCTCATTAACCTGTGCAGTAAGACATCTTCATCACCTCCACAGGTATTTCATCGACATTTATAAAGATCGAGCAAAGAGAAGCTATTGTCAGAGGTGAGTTACGTACCTTGCTGTAAAAGAAAAGCTGTTATAAGAATAAAAGAGTTCTAAAAACATATTTACAGTACGTACACTTTAGTTACGTCTACATATGTTACACACACACACACACACTTATCATATTTTATGTGTGTTATTTATATATCATTATTTTATGTATGTTATTTATACTGTTAATATTTTATTTACATGTTTGAAACTATTCTTTAATGTTCTAATGCACTTATATGGTTTTATATACACTTATATTATGCATATGCAAAAAATGTACGTATGTTAAAAATGAGAGGGTGACACCACTTCGCGGTTTTTCACTTATTGTGGCTGATTCTGGTCCTTATTAACCGCGATAACTGAGGGGTGACTTTATTGTGTTAAAAATTCTATAATTATGTTAAATTGTATTGAAAATATAATAATATACATTCTATTCATGTGTAAAAAGTAACATCTTGATATGATAGAAAGTGAGATATTAAGCAGAGAGCAACTATTTTGTACTAATTTGCATGCAATTTTAATCTTTCCAGATTTTAGTATTTGATCCTCCTGTTTTCAATCCCTTAATTAATGCAGAAACAGGTGAACTTGATGTTAAAAGGGCATTTCCTAAGTGGAGGTAAATCAATTATATTTACTAGATGTATATTTATAGATTTTTCATTTGTAAGAACTGAAATTCATTTTTCTCTTTTTACACCAGGAGAAATGTGAATCATCTTTGGCAGGTTATACAGTATGCAAAACGCATATTTTACAAGATTGAAACAGAATGTCCTTTGAATTTTGAAGCAGCTGAACTGTAAGTGAAATGAAGAAAAAAAATATTTTACAAAATCTTTTAATTTTATGAATGTTTTTTCTGTATTTACATAAGTTTTTACATTTTGTTCACATACATTATTTATTTTGTTTTTGAGCATGAGAGGTATCAGGCTATTGGTTGCATTACATTGAACCTAGTGGAGGGTATAGTGAAAGTACATTTGTTTTCATCAAAGACAAAATTGAAACTTGAGAACATTTCACTATGGGAAATACGGGATATGCATAAATTGAGGAGGTCTGAAAGAATTAAAACAGTGTGAAATAGAAGGGATGATTTAAAGCAAGCAGAAAAGTCCGTTTGAAAAATAATATTCTAGAGATGAGTAACAGGTGAACTGAAATGAATTTTAGGAAATCATTAACAAGCAAGGACACACCATTTAGAAACTAAATATCTGACAACAGAATACAACATTCTGTGAAAGAATAGTTATTTGGAAATAACATGCATGTATATAACATTCTATGAAAGAATAGTTACATGGAAATAACATGCATGTATATAAACCTTGCTGTGTATTTTATATATCCCATAATATTTAAGCATATTATATAGAATAAAACTTTGCATCCCAATCAAGAAAGTAATTAGAAGCTTGGCCAGTAGCTGAGAAATGAAATTACCATTCCGAGTGCCTTGGTGCTCCTTTTCACAGACTTTTCTGACTGACCTGCTATTGCATATAGCATATAACTCATTAAATGGCTCTGGTATTCTTTTCATATGAAATTTTGGATTTACAAAAAATCATGGAAGAATAAGATGCCTCAGCACCTGAGTGGAATAAATCAGCACCAGCTGAACTGATTACAAAACTGTGAAAAATGAACAAATTAGTATACATTATTATGCTAAAAGTCTGTCACCCACTTTTTGATAAAGAGGCAGCTTGACAAGCTCTTTTTTTTTTAAAGTGAGGAGAAATATTTTTCAAGTGCTTGAAATCTTTTATGGTACAACTAGTACCAATTTTACATTATAATCCTTGGAGAGTTTGATATATTTTATTTGTCATTTACATCATTCGAAATCATTGTTATTGTGACCTACCTTTTTTGCCTCATTTACTGTGTTTTATTTAATTGTGTGCATTACATTTCATCATTAAAAAAGTTTTTTTCAGCCATCTTTTTTCACAAGTCAGAAATAAATGTGACTTCTTAGCAGTATATGATACTAGTACCAATACTATCATTATTTGATGTAACATTTATCCAGAGCTTTAAGTGAAACAAAAAGGGGGGTGGGGAGAAATAAAAATCTGAAAGCTTTCAGATTTTATATTTGGGCCAAAGGGGTGTTTTTATCATATACACACACATATACAATTTGAGAGTATTTTGGCTAATGTTCCTTTGGGCTAAAAATAGATAATAAAAGAGATTCAAAATTCGGGCTTCCAGATGTTCATATTTAAGTGGAGGTCTGCATTATTCAGATTTTGATGGGTCTAGGTACTGTTATCTTTTTACATTGCAAGAAACATAGATACATTCATGCAGATTCTTCATTATTTAATTTCTTTAAACATTATATAGTGCAATAATATTAGGTTATCTTATATTTTAACTTTATAATATTAGGTGATTTTAATTCGAAAATTTTTAATTGTTGTGCTACGGCAAAGACCAAATAGGTATTTTAGTATATGATTTTATTATGGTTCATGATTTGAAACTTTTCAACAAAGATGACTCACCTCCAACTTTTTCCTCCAGGGTGGGAATAGGTTGGACCGGTTTGGTATTAGAGTCAAGTATAGATCTTAGCTCTGTGGAAATGAATATTTTAGATGAACCTACCCTGAGTGACCATAGACATATTTATGTTGATTTAAATGCTATAAAAATTAATAATTTATACGAATACTCTTATTCTTACAATTTGTTTAGAACAAAAAAATTTTTCAACAAACTGAAAATAGACATTATGAAATTTGAAAATGAACTCAGATAAAGTGTCTGGACGTGGAGACAAGATTACAAAGGAAAATTAATTATAAAAGTATTTTAGCGGTATTTAAGAAAGCAATTAAAAAGACAAAAAGAGACTTTCAAAATTATTTGTTTAATAAAAACAAGATTTATTATAACAAGTTTTATAAATATGCCACAAATAAAGGAATGGAAAATGTTATTTTATATAGAGATAATTGTAGTGTATCCATGTCTGCCATGGAATGTTATGATGAGTTGATTAAAGACATCCTGAGGCTGGATTATTGTTCTAATTATCCTGATTATCGAAATATTTTATGGAAGACAACGAGGAGGTAGAGCGGGCGTTTACTTATGAAGAGATATTTGATGTTATTTCTAGCTTCAGAGATGGCCCTGCCCCTGGACTCGATGGAACCGGGACTACTTTAATTAGAATTCTTTTTTGGGATTTCACCTCTTTTTATATATTACTTTACAACAAATGTATGGTTTTAACGACTTTTCCTGATATTTAGAAAATTGGAAAAAATCGAATCTTGTTCCTAAATCTACAGTTGGACATAGACCCATCTGTTTATTAAAGACCCATGCAAAAATCCTAAATAAACTCATTACAAAAAGACTTGAGGATTTTTTAACGCAAAATAATATTATCAGTTAAAATCAATATGGCTTTCAAAAGAATATGTCTACTGATCTAGCATTATACAATGTGATCCAACAAGTCAGAGAAAAGTGACAAAATAAACATGTGGTCCTGGTTTCCTTCTATGTCCGAGGGGCATTTGACTCTATTAGCTGGTTCTCCCTACTGTCTAAATTAAAAGAAATTGGCAAGAGACCTATTTGATATAATTAAAAGTTATGTGGAGAATAGAGAATTAATTGTTCTGGGGAACTCTAATACAATTAATCTTTATTATAAAATTGGAAAAGGCTGTCCCCAGGGCTCATGTAGTGCTCCTCTGTTCTGGAGCCTCATAGCAAATAAATTACTGCAAGAAAATGTACCTGATACGAATATTACCTGTTATGCTGATGATATTATGGTAACTATTACAGGAGACTCCCTCGGAAAAATAGAGGCTACTTTAAACCTGCTTGAAAATGTTTTTAAGAAATGGAGTACAGAGCAAAATATAGAATTTAATATTGAAAAAACAAATGGTATGTTTTCCCCTCGGAATGGGAGAAATGTTAGAACCCCCAGACTGAAATATGATTTAAAAAAAAAAAATTGTGAATGTGTTTAAATACCTGGGTGTAGTGATCAATGATAAGTTGAATTTTATAGAGAATTTTAAGTCAATACAGCAAAAAATAGAAAACATTTAAAATTATTATAAAAATACTTTTACTCCGATCACTCTTTCTGACTTCCCTGAGGGATATTTAAAAAAATGTTATTATACCGAAAATTCTTTATGGTATTGGCGCATGGGGTGATCGAGCAGGGAAGCTGGTCAAGACAAGGCAGAAATTAGACTTATTACAGAGGGCCTGGACACATGCAATTACAAGATCATTTAGAACAGTCCGACAGAATTTGCGTGCTTACTGGCTGGTGTACCGCCTCTCTCACTACAATTTAAATTTATTTATGAAAAATTTTGTCTGAAATATAATGTAAAACAGAAAATAGTGTATGAAGATAAAGCAATTACCAGTGAAGCTTTTTTAGAACATGATATGAGTTCAAGCCATCCTAGCGAATATTACAGTATATCTTACGATAAAGACTATATTTCAACTGGAGAAATTGAAATTTATACAGATGGATCAGGATTTGCGGAGAACATCGGATGTGCCTTCATTGTATTTTTCCATGGTATTGAAATTGATTACAAAACATTTACTTTAAAACCAAGAAATTCAGTTTATCAAGCAGAATTGTTGGCAATTAAAATGGCTTTATCCTGGATCAAGAAATTATCTGTGGGGTGTTACAATAATTTATACTCAGATGCCTTATTTGCTCTTATGGCGCTCTCCCGCCCTTTTCAAAAGAATAATATTGTTAATGAAATTAAGCATATGTATTTAGAACTATGAAAGAAGCATATTTTGAATTAACATTGGATCAAAGCTCACGCTGGTCTTTATGGGAATGAGAGAGCGGATGTTCTAGTGAAAGATGCCACCCTGGGGGTTGGGACTGAAAAGGTTTCTATTCAAAATTTGAAAAAGAAGACATGTACTATAATACATGACAAGCTTATTAGAGACTAGAAAAATTTGTGGGATTTCTCTGAAAGAAATAAAAACTATCTAAAATGTTTAAAGATTAGCAAAAAAATGTGAATTTTAGGAGATGTAGATGTCAATCAAATTCTCACTGCACATGGAAGGTTCCCTGCTTACTTAAAAAGGTTCCACCTCCAGGAAAATGATATATGTAATGCTTGTAATAAATTCGGCGATTCAAAACATTTCGTCGGGGACTGTTGCCTGACTGGAAGTGTGAGAGGAAAATATAAATTTGCAAAGTTTGAAGATTTATTTAGTAACTATAAATTGTTTAGAAAATTTGCAAGAGATATTATGCAAACTGTGAATGAGAATAAGAATATTGGTATCGAGATATAACAAAGCAGAAAATTGTACTAAAAACAGAAATAATTGAAGTAACTTATAAATTTAAGATGAATTCGATAATATAAAGAAGATTTGAATAATAATAACTAATTGGAAGTAAAACTTATAAAGATTTTTAACTTGAGAAAAAACACAGAAATGGAAATGACACAGCGCAGTAATATTTGGTCGCAACAGTTTGGAAAGTGATTCAGTGCAAAATGCCATTTTGAGACTAATGGGCTAAAACCCCTTTGAACCTTTAAAAGAAAAAAAAAAAAAAAAAAATCGTACAGAGATATTTTGTGAAAATAATATAAACATGAAGCAGTTATTATTTGATTGTTAGATGTAATTTTTCATTGATAATATTTTTAATTAAAGCCAAACTAGCCATTATGATACTTTTATGTACATATTTTTCACTTGCAGAGAAAATTGTCATAGCTTACATATTTTTATCATAGTATGTATGTATTGTATTTTTGTAACTTTTAAAATTAAGTATAAACTTTACATTCATTTGTTTCTCCTAAATTTCAATGATAGGTATGAGAAAGATTTGGAGTTGTACAAAGTAAAAGCTGCTGAAAGCATAAGTGTATGCAATGAGAGATTATATGAGAAGCCAAATACAGATGATCCACATGCTTTTTATTTTACTCCCTGGGATCCCTCTATTCATGAAGACTTCAGAAAGAAGCTTTTTTCTTACAAGGTAATAATGAGAATATTTTTAATCCATATAATTTGTATAGATCACAAATGTTTTTGAATGTATTGTTTTTAATATTAAGAATATTGTAATATGAACAAATTGCATTAAGTATTGACTTTTTTAAATGTTTTATCATTAAAATGATGTGGTGATATCATAGACAATTTAAATATTATCAAATATTGAATGGTAATTTATTTCTATAGTGTAAATAAGTTTATTTATGATAACACATTAATATTTTACAAGAAGGTTTATTATAAATTAAAAAGTTAGCCAGTCATTGCATATGTATTTCTATAGTTCCTAGCCATTACATATTGTGAAACAATATTCCAACTAAAGTTGTGATAGTCCCCCCCCCCAATATTTAAAAAGAGCTGAGAAGTAAAATTATCAGAAGTGAGATAACTGAAATAATTCTACAGATACTAAGACAACAATATTTCCAATGTTGTCTACATTATGTTTTAATTTTTTTTCACTTCAGAGCATTTGCTTAGGTTTTACAATAAAAGTTTTAGTATTCTTCTGAGATGTGTTTTAAATACTGTAATCTTTAGTATGTTTTGGTATTCAAAATGGACTTTTAACTGTTGAGGTATAGTCTTTCAGAGATATTGCACTATTTTATAAGTGTCATGTTTGTGGCAATCCTGCTAGTAGGCAGTTAATAGGGTTCATATAGTCCTTAAAAGTGCTTAGGATTTTTTAAAACTGTATTTGATTTGTCTTTTAATTTCAGCCAAAATTTGCAAAAGGTCCATAATTTTGCTTAGCTGATAACCATCCCTTTTCAGTGTCTAACATTCTGAGGGTGAAATAACACCTTGAATGAACATAGAATTCAAACCATGTGACTTCTTAACAGAGCCATTACAGATTGACATTCTCTTTAAAAATAGCTGTTATCAATAGTAATACTGTCCATCTATATTGGGAAAAAAAAGTATTTTCTTGCTCTTGAGCCATGACCTTATGGCAATACTTTGACATATTGTGGCAAAAACTGACCTTCAAGAAGGTTGAAGCAAGAACTTCATAAATGTAACACATCTGGCCACTATAGATTGTAACACTTCCACACCGTTATGTAAGTCTGGAAATTCTTCAGGGTATAGACCAAAAATGTAATTAAGGTTCTTGAAAAAAAGGACAAGTGTTGCAAAAAAATTCTGCCAGAATTACAACAGTGTAAATCTGGGAAAGACTGCATAATTATGCTGCGAGTTCAAATGCCCCAGCTTCAGCATGACTAAGAACAATGGGGACTATTGAGAACATATGCTTGCTGAGGTAATGGCTGTGAAATAATGATTAAGTTAAAAAAAGTCTATAATACTTCAAATTTTAACTTTACTCAAGGTTTTTTATGCTGATGCTGACCTTGCCATCAATTGTTACCTTTATTTTTGGAGGGTCAGTCTTTTATCAGTTCAGTTTTTATTAAGTTGATTTACTCAACTTTTTTTTTATCTTTTTATAATTGATATTTTTGTCTTTACTTATTAAAAATAACTTTCTTTGTATTTATGTCACATAAAATTCAACAACAAGGTTATAAAAGATTTTAAAACAGCTTATCTTTAGAATTCTTAATACAGTGTTAAAGTTACCATTCATTTTTGTAAACATTTGCTGTGCTATTCCTGTAAAAATAATACATGTTGATTACATTTGGTGGCAACATTCTTTTTGCCATACATTTTATTATATTTGACATATTATTTCTGTAAAAGATAACATTTGGTGGTAACATCATTTTATTTGACAAGTGATATGGACACAAAAATGATATGAACATAAAAGTGATATGGCCTATGGCCAAAAAATGACAAGAATTGAGACTTATATCAACTCTGATGCTGAAAAAGGAATCGAATAAAAATTTAAATAAGCTTGATGTTGATAGCTGGCTTTTGAGATAAATTTTCTGTCAAAAATAGGCTCTAGCAACATTATAGATTTATGATTAATGCAGTGTTAATGCATTTGTTTTTGCAATTTCCATGAGAATTGACCTGGTTTCTAAGATCTTGTGTAAAGTTAATTTTTTATAAAGGTGCTAAAATTTGTCCTAGTTTGCTAATTTGATCAACAGTTTGTATTTAAATTACATTTGGGAGACAATTATGTTACTGTTTAAATTAATTCTCATTATTGTACCCAAAACAGCTTTTACCCTTTTTGCAATGTGAATTCTTTGTGCATTGCCAAGTTTGGCATTTTAACCACATTTTGGTGATTTTATGATCAATTTATCCACAGAATTTATGAATTTCATGATGATTTTCTAACAAATATAATAATGTTAGTATGGTAATCATAAATTAAAATAAGTGACCTTATATTAAAATTATGCTTTTTAGAAAAATAATGTTAAACTGAAATATTTTTATTTCCACTTGTCATGTTCTAAAATATGTTAGTATAATACTAACATATTTTATTCCACTTATCATGTTTTAAAATATATTAGTATGATACTAACATAATTACAGTATGATAATCATAAATAAATGACCTTATATTAAGAACAATAGTGTTAAACTGAAATATTTTTATTTTCACTTATCATGTTTTAAAATATATTTACATTTTATTTTGTTAATTTTTTAATATCTTGATTCTGATCTAAATTTAAACAAGATAAATCTATGCAGCAGAATTTTTGAATTTTTCATTGGCAAAAGGAAAATGTAATTACATTAAAATTAATTTCATTTTTCAGATTATTGTTTTTCCCAGAGTAATTCTTTTAAAATATTCAGATATGAGTCAACTTTCTCTGTAAAATAGATTTTATGCTTTCTGGAGGGGAAGGGACTGATTTTTATTCTTACAAAATTTGCAGGTATATAAATGACTATGAATAAAAAACATATCCTGTGATGTAATGGAAAATGTATTAATATTAAAAACACAGAATAGATGTGACTTTCAGGACAGTTTTGATGTGTTTTGTGTACTGTCCAGAAAATTTAAAAAAAAAAAAAAAAAAAAAAAAGGCAATGAAAAAAAAATTTTATCTGAATTTTTTATGTCATTTCCTTATTATTACGACAGAGCAGGGAGTCTAACTTGCATCACAAGAAGAGAGTTCAAAGCACAAAAGAAAGATCAAGGTTCTACTCTGGTGATAAGTTTTACTGTTGCAACTGGGGTTTGAGGCTGATTTTCAACATGGACAGATTAGTTATTTGATGCTCCAAGTTGGAGAGAAATAAAATGCATTTTAAATGGAGTGGCAGTTCAAAATCTTTTTTTTTTTTTTTTTTTTTTTTTTTGCCCTGGGCATGATTACCTTCATTTTGATATAATGTCTTTGTTTGCACACATCAAGATCAGGATGCCAAGATTATTGTTTCCTGTGTTTCTCATCTTCAAGCTATACCAGCAATTATTATATTTTCAAGTGCTTTAGGGTGTGGTTAAATTAGCATGATGTTCTCAGACCCTATTTGAGCAGTGTGAGGAATTATTGGCTACATTTTGGTGTAAAATAGTTTTGGTGTGTTAATGTTGTGCTAAATGGATGCCATAGTGAATAATAGTGTTTGAATTTTGATTTTATTTTTTTAAAATCTTCTTTGTTCTCTTCTAGGACAGAAATGTCCTAGAAGTGAAAGTTAAAGCTATCTTTCAGCAGTCAAACCAGAGCAAACCTAAAAATTTTCAATGAAATTCTCACAATTTTGTGATCTATTTATTTTGGAGGTCTAAGTTGTCACTGGTTTTAGAAATAATTCCTATGGCCCAAAATGTCTCGTCTTCTTCAAATGTGGCCCAGGGAAGCTAAAGGTTGGACATCTCTGGTCTAAAGCATATATATATATATAAACATAACAATGAGAAATTTAAAAAGAAAAAATCATGACTCATTTTATTGCCAAAAAAAAACATTTTATTAAAGGGAACTACTATTAAAGCTGCAATATTTCATGCAAAACTTATACCTTTGACGTCAAAATTTTTTTAAAATTATCCTCTCTACAGTTGATATTAATACCTTGATTAATAATAATTGCTTTATTAAAATGTAGGAAAGTGTTATTCCATTTTAAATGATAAATAAGGAAAGTTAATTTGATATATCTGTTTTTATTACATAATATTGCTTCTTTCATTCAAGTTCTGAGTATTCTGTAATATCATCATTATTCATACAGTAGAAACTTAAATGGGAAAACTGAATTCTAAAAAAAGTTTTACATGTAACGTTATGCACACTGGTGGACAAAATTAAGAGATGGAAAACATTTTCCCACATTTCTCCGAAAATTCCACACAAAACCTCGGCGGTTGTTTGCCACATATGTCACTGTGGCGCTGGTGTCACTGAGATGAGTTTACGTATTCCTGTGGGCATCGCTACACTAAAAAAAGGCATAAAAGTTTGCTCCAATTGCTCAGCTCATTCCTCTCTGCAACACAGTAGTGACTTTCATTGTCTTTCTTAAATAATTTTTTTTTTAATTATTTTTTTTTATGGTTTCTTTTTTGGGTGAAATGAGCACACATCATCACTTAGACAAAGGTGTGAGAATCGTGGGTAGGCTTGAGAAAGGGCAGTCCGAAGCTCTAGTTGCAAGAGAACTGGATAAAACACCAAGTGTCATCTGTAATGTGTGGAATCAGTTTAAAAACAGCGAGACAGTGTCCAGAAGACTAGGACAAGATTGTCCGAGAGCCATCATGACCAATGATGACCGATATGACCACCATGACCAATGATTTGGTACTTACAGCCGAGTGCCAAAGGACGGCTACAGCCGCACAACTGTCTCGTGATCTCGCTACTGCCACAGAAACATTGGTTTCAAAGAAGACAGTTGCCAGAAAGCTCCATGAGACAGGAATGTATGCGAGAAAGCCCACTATCTGCATCCCACTTACAAAAACGAGCGTTTACAATGGTGTGTACAACGCCAACACTGGACACAGTTTCAATGAGCTAATGTTATCTTCACGGACGAGTCCAAATTTTCTACAATCTGATTCTCGGCGATTATTGAGATGGAGGGAACGTGGGATCCGATACCATCCCAGCAACATCATGGAAAGGCACCAATATGGTAGTGGAGGAGTGGTGGTTTGGGCAGGGATCATGCAAGATACTCGTACACCGCTCCATGTGCTTGACACTGGTTCTATGAATGCCCAGAGACAAGCAGGAGATCCTAGAGCCTTTATGTACAACTTTTCAGGGTTGCTGTTGTTCCTGAGTTCATGTTTATGGACGACAGTGCATGACCACAAAGGGCCTAACAGGTTGATGACTAACTAGAAAGCAAGGATATTCATCAAATGGATTAACCAGCCAAAACTTCTGATCTTAATTGAACATGTTTAGGATGCTCTTGGGAGGGAACGATTCAGGAGTTAAAAATGGCTCTGGTGGAAGAGTGGGTGCGACTTCTACAGGCACACCTGAACTCTCTTGTTAACAGCATGGCTACTCGTTGCGCACGCTGTCTGTTAATGAGGCGCAACCATATACCATACTAGCCACATTTTCACTGTTATCTTTCAACCTCAAGTTTGGACCATGCTGGACTCTTGACTATAACTCATGCTAATGAATGGCATTTTCATTGTTGTTTTATACACATTATTGTCATATAATAAACTATATCCATACCTAATTTCATTTATTTCTAATCAGTATTTGAGATATATGAGAAAACGTGTTCCATCTTTGAATTTTGGCCACCAGTATATTAAAAGTAATGGTGTAAAATGTATATTAAATAATATAAGTAATCTATATTTATTGTGAAATAAATAATAAAGAAAATTTTAATTTTCATGAATGGTAATAATGAGATAAATTTTTTAAGCTTTTAAAATGATGTAATAATGTAAGTACATATTTTATTTGACAGGGTTACATTGCTTAATTATTCCTTATTATTATAATGTATGAAATATATTTCTTATTATTATAATAAAGAAAATATATTTATATTTTTGTTTATTTCCATTTTTTAGGAAATGAAAAGCTTTCTAAAGTAGCGTATTTAAATGCAAGGGGGGAAGAAAGTATAGTTACAGCATACTCATTTGGTTTATTTATGGTGTTAAACTGTGCCTAAAATATTTTTGCATGTTTTATAATTTATTAATCTGACATATTTTGACATCTAAATTTAAAATGAGGAAGAAATGATTAATAATCATTATTTTAATAAGAAAGAATTCTGAACTATTTTCAGTTATTTATATATTAAATTTAAAAATTAAATTTTTAGACAAAATAGATATTAGTTATTACAAAGAAAAATATATGAAAAGAATTTCGAATTTAAATTATGTGTGTGCATATTTAAAATGTAAAGAAATTTATTAGTATATAGAAATACTCTGAGGTAACATTTAAAACTATTTTCATGTGATTAATATTAATTGATAAATATAAAATGGCTTGATTTTTATTCTAGAAGGAAGAACATGATCAATCAAAAGATTCACAAACAGGCTTATCATGGATGCAACCAGGAAATCTACAAATATTTTCAAAAACTGTATCTTGATATGCTGTTTGAATGAATGGATTTTTTATCAAAAACATGTTATCCATTATGGATAATCATTGATAATCATAATTTTTATAAATAATCATATTGTGTCATTCGTATATATTAGTCATTTTTAACTCTGATAAATTGGACTGTATGAATTATTTGTTAATGTTTGTGAATACTTATAATGTGTTGTCTATTTACATGAAATATGTAATGTTTAGAATTTGTATACATAAAATATGTTTTTAATTGAAGTACCACTATATTACTATCAGTACCTGATGTTTCAATTCAGCCCACCCTATAATTGTGTGATATATTCAGTATTAAGTTGTATTTTATGAAATTGTGTTACTGAAAATCTGAGTCATATATACAGTGTGCTCATAAACGTCCCCGATATATGAACCCCTAATGGCCTATCTGTTGAACTAGTTGAAATGAAATTTCAGATATTATTATCTGATATGCACTCAAGATTGTGATGATATAAAACAATAGAGCTCTCACAGTTATAGTTGCAGTGAAATAATTTCGAAATTTTCAAACAAACACATCTTTTTTCCCTAAAACCATAAACTATGTTTTAATGACAAAATTGCCAGCGTAAAACATTTGCAAAGAAAGCATTGTTAAGAACCATAGACAACACAACACAAGAGAGGAAAGAGAAAAACTTTTTTTTTGTTGCCCAGAGTGTATAGTGGTCAGGGGAGCTGGAGGCAAAGGTTCCCCACCTGTTAGGTGCTTCCCTAATAAAGTGACCACCACTTCTGGCCTTAGTTGGCCGAAAACGGCTGAGGGCCCGCTATTGAGGGGGGAGAAGAATTAAAAATTTTTACAGCTTACTTTTCAGATGATAATGCTCTGCATGCAAGAGATTGTTGATAGCATTGACTAATGTAACATTGTAGGAGGAATTTACATATTTTCACATTTTATAGCATCTTTTAATTCTGATTCTCTTGAATTTGATGTGTAAACCTTAGATTTCAGAGAAGCCCAGGACCAGAAATCCATTGGAGTGAGGTCAGGAGATCATGGTGGCTAAATTGCAAAGTTACAGGATAGGACTTTATCTCCAAAGTTCTGTTGCAGGACTTGCTGAACAGATGTAGTGACGTTGGAGGAGAACTATCTTGTATCCATTAGTGTCATTAACAACATTTCAATGGTGCAGTTCTGAAATTATGTAATTATACAATTCTGCAACACAGTTGTATAGCAAGCACTTGTGATTGAGCATATTTACATATCTGTGGAAGTGGCCTATTTGAAGAAGTGTGGACCAAGAATGAATGTGCTTGCAATGCCATACCACACAGTCACTTTAGCTTCGTGTAAAGGTGCTGGTGCCACATCATGAGGATTTTCGTCAGTCCAATGAACGCAAAAAATCATATCTGATTATCTCTTCTTTGCAAATGTTTTACATTGGGAATTTTCATCATACATGTAATCATTCCAATGCCGTGTATAGTTTTTCAATGTATTGAACAATTTGCGCACAAATAAAGTGTTGTCATTAAAAAATTTCAAAATTCTTTCACTGTAACCGTAACCATGGAAGCTGGATGATTTTTAAATCATCACAATCTTGAACGCATACCTTCAAACAATAATATCTGAAATTTTATTTCGATCGGTTGAGCAGATAAGCTCATATATTAAAGAAGATTTTTCATGACCATCCCTGTATACATATCCAGTTAATGCAGATAAATTTTTTAATGAAAAATTAGTTTTCGGATATTGCAGCTCGATTTTTAATATGAAAAAATTTCAACTAATTTATTGATACAGAGATTCAGTATTTTAGGAGAATAATGTGATGATACAGTAGGGGGATTTTTACCTTTTTAGACTATTGACCATGTTTTGATACAGTTAGTGAAGTTGAGTTTTTAGAGGTTAGTGTGCTTGTTTATAAATAATATAATCAATTAACTACTCTTGATGAATAGGGTCAGAATCCACTGGCAAATGCAATTCTTGTATAATTTTTGTTAGAAAATAAGAAAAAACTTCAGTACATTTTCATATTGGCAGGGGCTGAGCGGTAAAGTCACTGAACACTGGTAGTTCAGTCCGAAGTTCGAATCCCGCAAACGGGCTGGCTGCATGAGTGTTTTCGTGGTTTTCCCCATGTGTAACTTGTATACGAGCCAGTTTCCCTTAAAAAGTCCACCATGAAGGCATCCCTTCCTTAAGGCAGATAGCCCTCAAATGCTTTGCCGTAATCTAATAAACCAAACCAAACCAAACCAAACCAATCATATTGGCAGGGATTATTGAATAACTGTGGTGCTGTCTTAGCTGAAAAAAGATCTTGTTTTAGACGAAACAGTTAATTTTTGCCAAGACTCTACATTTTGATGTACGCTTGCACGTTACACATTACTTTATTTACATCATGTAAGAAAAAAAATACAAATATTTAACAAATACAATACAAATATTTGAAAGAAATACAAATATTTAACTGCTGTTTTATGAATACTAGAGTACACTCTCTACTTCATATTTGTGGCTGTAAATATAAGGGCCCAGAAGTCTTAGTTCTGTAGTTTCAATGCGCTTGTACCATAACGAAGCACAAATATAACTAACTAACAAATATAGCAAGTATGCCAACAACAAGGTTAAATTTCTTTGACTAGTGGAACTTCTACTGCCATCTAGTGAGGGAAAGAAACTTTATTGAATTCCTAACAAATAACTTAAATAGTAAAATAGAAAAAAATAAAAATTACATTTTGAAGAAAAGTCTGTAAAGTGCTATGAAAAGATCTGTCAAATTTTATATATGAAATGTTCATGAAAATGTGACAGCATGTTTTTAAATGAAGTCAGACAGGCCTGAAGTCTCATTATCATGGAAGAATGGCTAAAATCATGAAATACTAGTAGTTCATCCGAGTTTTTCCCCCCCAGATATCTACTTCAGTCCTATGACTTAATAAACTGGTTCCATGAAGTTTTCTTTTCTTTTTTAAAGATGTGTAACATGATTAACAACTTCCCTTAGAAAGTATTCCACTATGGCGTCTTTCGTTTTGGATAGTAGCTTTTGTGTGCTTTGCTATAGTCATTAAATCTATTCCTGACCATCCCATTATCATGAGAATCTTAAGGCATGAATCCTCCCGTTTCAAAGAATTGCATGATGTAATCTGAAGAGAGACTCAGTCAAGGATGATTAATGTATAGGAATGAATAGTATAAAAAAGATTGCTCTATCTCTTGAATAGACTTGCAATTTCATTTTAATGAATCAAATGATGTTTTCCAGCTAAGAAATATTGACCATGCAGCAGTTTTAATGAAAATTTACAATGTTTTATTGTTACATGTGCAGAGAAAATTTCAAACATTAGTTCTGTTGCTCTATATGATATGGTTGTTAGTAGAGGCTGACTCTTAACCAAAACCCACAAGTGTAGGATCAACTCATATGTAAGGCTTAACTGTACCTATATTATCTCCTGATCTGTATACAGATCAGGCAGTTTATTCATCTTAACATGATTAGGATGCTACTGCTTTATTGTAGCCGAAACTTCTCTTCATTTCTTCAGAAAGTTCTTGATAGTTGTAATTAGGCATGGACGTGTAGGTTGTAGTAGTTAGTGTTCCTTTCCTCCCTGACCAGAAAGAATTATCCTCTAGGCTTCTTTATGATCTTGTTAAAGAAAACTTGCGATTCTTCAGTGCTAGCTAATGTAGTATTAAGAAATATGTTTTACTTGACTATTTCTCTGTTCATTGTCTTAGTTTATAACAGATGTATTTTTTATGCATCACCAAAACAAAAAGTAAAACAAACTTAGTTCTACATTTAATATGTAAAGAAATTCATAATGTACGCTTGACTTCATTATGCAGGGCATTTTTTGGTCTGTGCACACATTTATTATGCAAAATGTTTGTTAAGTAAAACACTACTGCACTTATCATTATTTTGATTAACACACTGAGTGCCACGTCAGCCATTGTGGCCGACACTAGACTTTCCGTTTAGGCCATGTCAGCCATCTGTGGCTGACACTAGACTTTATGTTTAGACCATGTCAGCTATCTGTTTCCGACACTAGACTTTCCATTTAGGCTGCGTCAGCCATCTGTGGCCGATACTAGACTTTCTGTTTAGGCCGTGTCAGCCGCCGCTGGCTGACAGCATGTATCATGTGTAACTCATGTGTAACGTTTGTGTAATTATAAAATTTTCACTGTTTTATGGAATTACAGAAAATTTTTTTAAAATTTACTTCATTTTGATTCATTACAGGACTAATGAATTTCATTGAAACATGGTAAACATAAAAACGGTTCTCCACTACTGCTATTACAAAATGTGACAACTCTCTTAAGTCTTTTTTTCTGGCAACCAGCGCTTTTAAGTGGCGCGCGTGGCCTGAATGGGATTGCCTAAAAAATACGCGTGGCGCTCAACGTGTTAAGATATGTTCAGTATTTGTTTATCAAATTTTTGCATTTATTAACTAAAATCATAGACTTCATATATGAAGTTTTGTAATTGTCTATAAATATGAATATGAAGTTTTTAGATATGAATCACATTTTCTTAGAAAATCCCCAGTAAAGACATCCTTTCCCTTAAGCCTTTAAAAGTTTTGCTATATAAGAAAATAACCTTACCTATATATGTAACTTGACCTCACTCAGTAGTTCATTGAGAATTAGAAAGAATTTTTCAGATTTATTTTTCCCCCCAAGAAACTTGGCCGATTTCAGTGGCTTAAAATGATGAAAATTTCCTAATTTTCAGAAATACTTCAGTAATATCTTCATAGCCAAATAGCAAAAGATGCTGGATATTCTATTGTGAATATTTATATGCACTTATACATTCATATTTTCAACTCTGTAGTATCAAATATTTAAGCTAAATGTATATGTAGTGAAATATTGTGATAATCACAGATCCATATATTACCTGCCATAGTTTATTTTGTGTTTCCAACATGACTTACACATGAAACAAATTTATAATCTATATATTACATTTATTTAAGTTGAAGGCCTTTCTGTTGCCATATGATCTTAGCAATAATTTTAAATTATAAATATTCATCCCAATATCACATTTATTTTCAGTATTTTGAAATTTTTTTTATTTCCTATGGTACTCTTAATGTGGGGAATTTTCTAGAAAATCATTTTATTGAAATATATCTTTGTTATTCACAAAACTGTATTATCAATTTGTGTGTGTGTAGCACAATAAATTATATTTAAAACAATTTTTTGTGAGTAAAGGTATTTCAGATTTACAGCTGAAGGAAATAGAAGTGTTCCATTGTATATTTTATTTTTGCAACCAAGTTACTAAGCAGTGATTAGTGATTATTGTTTGGAATTAAGATAATTAGAATATGAAGATGCTTTTTTATTAAAAAAAAAGTTAAAACGTTATTATACCACACAAACTTTTTTTTTTTTTTTTTTTTTTTAATATTATTATTATTTGGAATGAATTTTGTTAACAAAACAAATGTTTTAAGACTGACTGACCCTTAACTATTGCAATGTATTTTTCTAGACTGCAAAATTTTCCTCCTTATTAAAAACTTTCATGTAAATAGACGACTTTCTTGTTTGCCATTTTAATACATATTTTCATTTTTATGCTGTGAACATTTTCAACAGCAGGAAGTAATAACCAGTCTATCAGATTGATTGATTGTTTAAAAATTTTGTTTGTGTATGAATTATGTAAATACTATCTGAGACTGTGCTATGATGAAAATCACAGTATCATTCTAGCACCAGTGTTTAAGGATTAATCCACTTAGGCTGCTGTCACACATCTGTTTGTTTTGGAAGAACAACCATTTGGAACAATTTTTCTGCTTTGTCACAACAGGCAGTCACCACAGATCGCTTTGGGGTTATCACAGGAAAAACTGGTTCCCCATCACAAACAAGCTGATAGGTTGAAAGCGAACAACTTGCAATTTTTTTCGAAAGGAAGGAAAAAATCGTGCGTCTTTCTTTCAATAATAAACCAGGCAGAAAAACTGTCAAACAGTTGTTCATCTAAAACAAATGCGTGTGAGATACTGGCCTTAGAAAACCTTCATTGAATATTTAATTAAAGAAATATGTGCATAAAAATGTTTCTATATATGAGGAATAAAAATTATAATGTTATATTAAAATTACTCTTATGGTAAACATCTAATTTGGGAGGAAAAAGAACCATAGATCTCACTGTTATTACTTTGAAATGTTTTTTCCAACTGAATAAAGTTTATTTTATTCAGAGATTTTTGTTTTGAAAATTCCATTAATTATAAAGAAATTAGTCAAATGGAAAGGCATTATTTGAAACAATTCAAGTAATACTTTCGTATTAGAAAATCTATAGTTTAGCTTTTCCAGTTTTCTGTGCACTTCTGGGTTCATTATATTAATATAACACTTAAACTTGCCAGATGTTTCCATTCCATGAGTACAAGGTCTAATTCATTTTTAACATGGCTTGATAAATAGCCATTTGATGTGCCATAAGATTTTTAGTTTCTCTAATTATTGCTATATTTGCATAATACATTGAACAGTTTAAAAGCAATAATTGGATTTCTTAATTTTTATAATTGTTTTTTCAATAATGTGTAAGTTTGCTATTATAGCTTTTCAATAATGTGTAAGTCCTGCAGACCTTAATAGACATATATTGAGTGACCACCATGTTTTAAAAGCTCACACAATACAGAAGGTGGTTTAAGTACTTTTTTTATTTCAGTTTAAATTTGGACGTAAAGACAAGACTTTTGCTACACACGAAATTGTCACCACTTGTGGATATACAACTTAACACACAATTAAATTCAAACACTGATAATAATTTAAGACTACACATTTAACTCAGATACAGGTTGACAATTATTCAGCTATATGAAATAAAAAATCAAATTTTCCAAAACTTCTCAAATTCGAAAAGTAACTACAGATATCCGGATTTAGTTTATGACATGTTCGATATGCTTACCATCAATGGCTATGAGCTGGTGCATAGCAAAATTCTGCAAAGTGTCGAGGCATTGATGCTTTCGATTGCATTTGGCTTCCTGAATGGCCACTTTGAGTTCACCGGTGGTTTAGGGGTTATTTGCATAAAAACTCTTTAATATTGCCCACAAAAATGAGTCACAAGTTTTGAGATCAGGAGAATGTGACGGCCAAGCAATTCTCATTCCAGTGGCCTCCGAGTACCTCTAAGTCAGAATGTGCTTTTGCAGGAATAATCAATCGCTCCAATGGGATCGAAATCTGGGTCACTTTGAAAAAGAGGATGGTGCCATTTTCTAAAATTTTGACAAAACGTTCAGCAGTCATCATGTCTGCAATGAATATCACACTGATTATTTCACGATTTGACATTGGTAGAGACTTCTCGATCATGAAATGAGGATTTTCAGTCTCCAAATGTGGCGGTTCTGCTTATTGAAGTATTCATACAAGTGGTCTTTGCCACTAAACCAAACTATATTCACATCAAATTCTTGTTTGTTGATCGTTTTGACACTAGTGTTGGGAAAAACAACAACAAAAGAGTGCGCAGGCTCAAAGAAATTCCCAACATGCCTGCATTCATCCGCCAAGTTTTAACTTGATCTCGCCGATGGTTCAAAAGTTATCGAGTGTTTTTTTCCATATAGCTCAATAACTGTCGCACTGTATTTTATCAGCGCCTATTTAAAACATCGACTAACGGGACTGCTAAAGCCAATATATCACTTTTTAGCAGAGCTGGCCAAAAACATTAATGATTGCCAGAAGCTCCCTCTAAAGATTCAAAATCCTCAGATACACACAAAGCTAGTCGCATCATAACCAGGCCTGAGATTACCGAAGAAAGGTAGTCTCCGGAAGCTGTAACGTTACAATGCAGGAGTGCGTTTTGAACTCATTGCCTTTGACATCCTGGGACCTTTATCACAAACTGCTGATGGCAATAACTATACATTTTCCTTGTCATTTATTATTTACAAAGTGGTCTGAAGCATATCCTATTCCTGATCAAGAGGCTGTCACGGTAGTAGAGGTAATGATACAGCCTTGGATTTCCATGGTGGGAGTGCCTCTTCAGTTATATTTCGATCAAGGAAGTAATTTCATCTCGACTATGATCAAAAAACTCTGCACGTTTTTCGGCGTCGACAAAACACAAACGATACCTTTACGCCGACAGTCAGACGGCATAGTAGAGAGATTTAATTGAAACATCCTTAATAACCTCTCACTTATGGTTTCCAGAAACCAACAAGCCTAGGATCAAAAGTTATTTCTATTCTTGCTGTCCGTAGGATTACTGACTATTTCCCATCCCAGATGCTCTTCATTCGGGACTTTCATCTGCCTAGTGATCTCTTGTTTGGTCGCCGGTCCGGATCGCCTTCATCGCCTGAGGATTAAGCACGGTTTGAGTATCCCTGAGTGAAGGTGATGCACAATTTTCCACCAGAGCAAGTTAACTTCCTTATGGAGATGAGGAGGACTAGATAAAACATGAGAGCTACAGAACATCAATTCAGCGAAGGTGACAGTGTGTGGTTATGTATCTAATTCGGCCGAAGGACAGTTATTGTGAGATGATCCTTAGACAGTCTTAAGCACTCTGAATGAAAATTCATAGATAGGATCGGTAGGTCATTAAATTCTAAGCGTAAAGTCGTTCTTTACGACAGGCTAGCCCCTTAATATAGCCATAGTACATAGTCCTCATAGTGTTTATAATGTATATTAAAATCTATAAATTCATGCTTTTATTTATTCATATAGTGTTTGATTTATGTTATTCATTGAAATTATTATTTTAGTATTCACCGATTTCCCTTAGTTGTTACCTATGGCTTCCTGTCCAGGGATTGTACTGCCTGGGGCATGCAGTTTTTGGGAAGACTGCAATTTTACAAATTTTGTACATATGTAAATAATTTTAGTGAAATTGTAGTATTTGTTTTAGTAGATATAAAATGGTGGTTCACCGAACATGAGGTGTAACATGTGGATGTGGCCAGACCGGAAGGGAGGCTCAGTCATCCCTGGTATCACTGGAAAAGTTGGAGATTGCAGAGTGGAGGAGTTCGCATGCTGCTGCGTTAGAAGTGAGTGGCAGCACTGAAAGTTTAGGTTAACCAAGTGACAACAGCAACCATAGCAATGTCTACCATGGATTAGTATGACGATGCAACAGTGTCATCTGTTGACCTTTTCTGAAAAGAACTTAAATTACTGTAAAAAATATTGCAAAGAACATTGAAAACATTTCACAATCCTCATTTACTTTCACACATAAACACATGCATACATACACTTTTTTGCAAAAAAAAAAAAAAAAAAAAAAAAAAAGAAGCACCAAGAAGGACTTTTGCGATCGTGACGAAATTTAGTATGAAAACCTGGTGCGGTTCGACCAACTACTAATTTGAATACTCAATGGGTGATTGTGAGCTGTGAACAGGTACTATGACCTTGAATTTTTAATAATTTTATTATCTGTGTATGAGCTATACACCAGTTCAATTTCATCAAAAACAACCACTCCCTTCATAGTGCTTCTATTTTTTTGCAAAAGAGTGTATAATCACTCACACATAGGCTTTTATCGATATTTATATTTTCTGACATATTCTCGTATACATCCTTCATGTGAATTTCGTAGGTGAGAGAAACTGTATTGGTGAATAATAATGAGGCATTTTCCCCACACTCCCGCTTTATGATGTTACAGTAGATATGGTACATGAGAATTTTATTCAGTACCAAAATCACAAAACCCACATACCTCGAGCGATTCAAAGTGAGGCTGTTTCTTAATCTCTTAACCACAGCGAGATTCTCACTGAATATTTTAAATCTTTTAAAACTGAGATAAGCTACCAGAATTCCCCCCCTTTTTTGCTTGTGATCACAAGTTGTATGTTCACTCTCTTCCTTGTCTTTTTCATGGTTTTACCATAGATGGAATTATTCAGTAATTTAATTTTTTTCGCCCCTCAAAGATGAGTCACGCATTTTTGTGCTGTCAAGTATTAAAATCAATATAAGGTTTCAACTGTGCCTTCTGTTTAAATTTCATCATTCTATACATTGAAGTTAACATTAAACCCTGCTTTAAATAAAATTGTAAATTTTTTATAATACACTATATAATTTCTCTTATCTTTTAGATTGGGAGTTAATTTGGTTATTATAATGTTGATGGGGCAGGATGTTCGGGGAGAAAGGTGGAAGATCTAAATTAATTTTCATCTTTTCAAGTGCGAGGGGGTAATCGTTATGGGCATTGTGCAACTTGGAAGGATATTTCAAATCCATTTCCAAAATACAGTAGACTCCCGATTATCCGCGCCTGCCGCGCAAAGTTTTTTTTTTACAAGCGTAAAACAAAGAAAATAAAAATATTCACAAAACTGGGCGAAACGTTAAATTTGCTAACATCGTGCTTATTTATAGAAAAAATATCCCAGGCCTTATCGGAACCTTCCCCTCTGATGAGTAAGTGATTTCTTACTCACCCTTGCAGTGCCCGCTCCACCGCCCTCTCTCGTCTTAATCTTACTGACACATCTACTTCTTCCCACTCGCCATTGTTAGTTTAAGCCGGATAGTGTTTGCGAACCCGTCGGAGTTAATTTCTTATCTTTTATTGTGTTCAGTGCTTGTGCTTTTTGGTTTTGTGTTTTTCGTTACCGATTTAAAATGTCAGGAAAATGAAAGAAGGTTGTGTTGACGATTGCGCAAAAACTAGAATTAATTTCCAAAGTAGCAAACGGCGCTACAAGGCAGCAGATGGAATTGGATTACGGAATCGCGGAAACAACAGTGCGTGACATTCTAAAGCAAAAAGACAAACTGGTGAACTTTGCATCAATGTCGGATAGTGCTTCCGCAATGAAAACGCGAAAAACTATGAAGGGTTCTACCTTTGATGAGCTAGACACGGCAGAGTGGTTAGCTCAAGTTCGAAAAGAGGGTACTCCTGTAAATGGTCCTATCATTGCGGCGAAGGCAAAAACCTTTTTTGAGTTGTTAGGCCTGAAAGGAAATTTTGATGCGTCTTCTGGCTCGTTAACTCGTTTTAAGCAGCGACATGGAATTCGAGAAATTGGACTTTATGAGGAGAAACTTAGTGGTGACCAACAAGCAGCCGACGATTTCCACCATAAATTTGAAGAATTTGTTTTAAAAGAAGAGCTATCTTTTGAATAAATTTACAATGCCGACGAATCGGGACTTTTGTGGAAATGTCTTCCCACTC